AATCACAAGAGTAATACTACTACAAGAAACACATAATATTTGATTATCCTTAAACATAAAAAATGTCTTTCAAATCCTTGTGAATTTGTTTAAACATATCACCAATATATAAGTGATTTTATCATTTTGTGAGTGACGTATGAAATGGAATGGGTCTAACGGAGTTTTGGACGGGAGTAGATTTATTGACCAATTTATTAGTCACTCAAACTTGTCTTACCGAAATGTGCAAAATTAAATGATTGTGACTGTTTTGTATAAAGTGTATAGGTTTGTGACCATTTATAATAATTAGCTCTATTTTCCTCGTACAGGTTATTATCTGGGTTCGACTTTGTTGTTTGGTTACATAGTATGTAGGTTTTAGTATAAATCTGTGGATATTATTTTCTTCCTCTTGTTTATAGTGATCTAATGGAGAAAATTAACCCAAGCAATGTTCAAACTTAAAACCGAACTGGAATACGAGTCGGTATAGAAAGTAGTTCGCACTTTATTGTTTTAATCGGTATTAAGCCGTTAAAAAATTGTTAATGAACCAATCTTTCATAAACAAATTTATTATATCACATATATACATAAATAGGCAAAATACAAATGTATAGCCATAATTATCGACTTTGTGATAATAATAGTCCGTTTCTAATAAATACACAAAATTCACAATTCCATCCAAAACCTTAATGGGAAGATCTTAGATGCTGATTAGACTATCATTTTTTATGACTTGGAGATATTTCGTCAACAACATTGCCACATGGATTTGTGAAAACTAAAATATTAATATTTTAAAATAGCCTAGTTGAAGAGCGTCCCCTTCTTTTCGTATTCCCACTTTCATCTTCATATTCTTTCGACCTCTATCCATCAAAGTATGATGAACCCTCCTGATCGACAACCTCTCTTAATCGACGAACGAAAGAACCCCCAATCGCAAAATCCCTATTCCCACTGCAGATCTTCCTCCCGACTTCCATCCCACACAATCACCTCCCTTCCTCAACCAAGTCATCCATGCATGCGGCCGGTCACTTGATGACAGCCTATTTCCAACAACACTAGAGCTTCCTGGTTTACTTAGCCCAGTTTACTTTGCCAAAAAACTTTAACTGAAAACCCCCAATCGCACGGAGTAAGCTCGATTTTGGTCTCTTTAATTTGTCTCGAATGGTGAGTACTCTTCAAATACTCTGGTTGTGGTGTTTGAATTGGGATAAAGATTGTTAAAGTACGGTTATCTTCTTTTTATAGTTTGAAGCAAGCTATAATGGTAGGAAAGCAATACATCAATTACTTCACTCGACCATAGGACACCTGTTTGTAGCGAGTTTTCCCCTGAATCAGACAGTAAACACCTCCAAATTCTGTGTACAATAGTCATTGGTTTGTGAAAGAATCATTGCCTCAAAAGTCTTAAAGTGAATGAAATAGTATATTGCTTGTTTGTGATTTGTTTGTTAGTGATTAAAAAAGTTTATCTTAGGTTAATGTCGCAATTAGTGCTAGATAATGATTTAAATAGTCAATTTTCTACAAATGGAAGATTCATAGGATGAGTTTGTAGGCAAGAATAATCCAGAGTTCCAGACCAACAAGCAGAATCAGATGCATCATTAGTAGAGGATGGGGTTGCCGCTTTTGTTGCACGAGAGGTCTACAACGTGTATGACTCCAGTGATGCCCAAACTTCCGAGGATGAGTACCCTAAAGCCAGAATCAATCTACGAGGAAAGGGGAAATGAGGAAAAGTAAGATGAAGGCAAGGATGAGTGGCCATGGGGAAGAGGTAGAACAACTTGATGAGTTTGAAGAGGGGGGATCCGAGAATGAAGTTGAGGAATCTGAAAAATGACGAGGCAGACAATGTTGATAACTATGAACACTATAATGCTTCTCAAACTCAACAAGCACCCAAAACTTCACAACATTCAAGCTAAAAGCTCTCTGAAGATTCTAACCATGTACGAGGCAACTTGTCTGATGAAGAGGAAGGTGATTTATATGATGGTGCACCACATTATGATCATGCTTGTGACCATAAAGTGTTTCATTTGTGCCTCCTATGAAGTTTGACAGTCTTGAACAATTATAAAGTGTGGTGCTTATGCATTTTGTAGCACCTTGGGCATGTTTGAGATGGGCAAGGAGTAACCCTGCTAGAAAAGAGGTGAAATACAAGGATGCTAATTGAAAATGGAGGGTGTATGTTTGCTAGTTTAGGGGAAACCAAACCCTCATGGTGAAACTGGTGCCTCCACAGAACGACAAGCATGAAGGAATTCAAGAGAATAAGAAATGTCAACATATATCGAATTACACGGACATCATCCTTCACTCTCCTCCCTTCAGATAACATAATTTCATGAGCCTTCATACATATTCTCAGCTTTGCGGCTAAAATTTTTCTCTCCTTCTTCCTCCTCTCTACCTTGGACTATGCTAGCTGTAAAATCACTTCCAGATACAATATCATACACTAAATTTCATGGTTTCGTGCCTCAACTTCATCTTCATCCACTTCCAACCATACCATCAATTAATTAAGAGGCTTGAGGTTGAGTCGGCCACTGCTGACCTGATTCATGGATCAGGAGCTACGTCCGCAACAAGGACGTGGTGACCAGTATCGACGACGAAAAGGATTCTCTCGATGGCATGAACTTGATGACCAGCACCAGCGGCTGTAAGGGGTCTCTCGGAATGCTATAAGGGAGGATGCAAATAGAGGTGGGAAGAAGAACACGAGGAGGGTCGATGTGTTGGTATAAGAGGGCATAAAATTGATTAGTAAAGAAATTTAACTAAAATATGACATGGTAGTTTTCCTAAGGTGTCACTGACGTGTGCGTCGATGTGACATGCTAGTCTGTGTAATATTAACCTAATTGACGAGATCTCTAACAGAATTTAAGCTTTAAACGAAAGTGACTAGTTTTGTCTAGCTACATGCCATATATATAATCCGAACCACACTATTTTCCACCCGACCAATAATTATCACTAATAGCCATTAGCGATTACTAGTGAAATTCATTATCCATATTCGATAACATATTTCCAATGTTGTCATAACCGAACCGGAGCATGACCCGGTAATGCGAACGGCTCGCACTTTAGTGGTCCAACCGACATTAGACCGTTTAAAAACCGTTAGAGAACCGGTACCTAATAAACGTTATCAGTATAAATAGTGGACATTTATTAATCAGAGCTCATCTTTTTCCTTCGAAATTGTGAAATGAAAATAAGGATTCAATTTGAGAGCCCTACGTTTTTGTTTATTTCAATTTTTAATTTTCTACAATTTTTTTAATTAAATTTAGTGGCTGAATGGCAAAAACCGGACCAGCGGCTCAATCGGCTCGAACGGTTAACCGCCTCGGCCGCTTGCCAACCGCTACATAAAACCGGAGCAGCTTTTAGACTGTTTCGAGCCGGTTTTATGACCGGGTGGCGGTTTTACCGAGCTGTTCGGCTTTAATAACACTGCATATTTCTAAACTATCCCCTTTTAAAATTCCTCGGTTTAGATTTCCTTCATAATTTACAGCTCGTTTGCATGATGGATTGTACGAAGGTTTTGGGTGCCAAAATCAATTCCTTATGGACTTGGCTAACAATCCATTGTTTGCTTGTGTCATTTGGGGAGATGGACTATGTGAGGCCCACAAATTTTTGGGGTCCAAATGTGTGGGCCCCATTGCCTTCGAAAAACCAGCTCTATAGGTGGGATTTCGGTAAGGGTTTGAAGTCCATGATAGTTTTTTACTTTCTTATCCCCACATAAATCGTTATTGCCAAGTTTAACCTCGTTCACTTTTCTTCTTCCCAACATAACGAGAGACTAAAAGGCAGTCGTGGCTGGGCAGAGTGAGAAAGAGTGAAAGACAGAGAACGAGTCTCGTCAGCTCCACGAATCGCGAAGGTATGGGCTGTTGGAGAAAGATGACGCCAGCAGAACACCAACAAATGTATCTCCATCTACGATCGGTTAATTCGCCGCTACAAACCAGGTGTGTAATTGCCATATTTTTTGTCCCTCAGTTTTCTATGTCTAACCCTAGAATGCGAATGGATTGATTCTTCTCTCTCTAATCGTGGATGTAACTTGAGGTTTATCAAAAATGAATCTTTTGTTGGTCTTTCTTGTGAAATATTTGTTAACTTCAATTCACCTCTCCTTATTTTGGACAATCCATCTCTCACGCTGAAGCTGACCTTTATCAGTATGTTTTCTTTGCGTGTTGATTCTTGAATAATGGTATCCATCTCTACTAATGGTATCGAATTTGGTGCACCATTTCTCATGTGTGGTCTGCATCAGTGTGTTGGGTTAATACTGAGATTCATTCTGGTTGGTAATTAGTTAAAAGATAATAGCTAACCTAGTTTTTCTCTTGATAGATAGTTATGTGAGCTGAATAAATTGCAGGTTTCCATATCTGTAACTAATAATGACTGGGGTTGATGAGTTAACTTCATGGGGGGGGGGGGGGAGAAAAGTTAGTTAAACTACTGCTGCCCTATACCCTGTGAAATAGTTGAATTTCTATGCCTTCACATTGAAGTGGATCGTTTGATTCTTGAATAAGATATGCCTTTCTTTCTGAATTTTCTGGCTTTCGTTATCTATTATTGCTCCTATGGAAAGCAACATTATTTGATAAAGATATGATGCCCATTCACTGATTTTGTATTAGAATGGTATTTCTGATTGTGTGTTCATTTTTGTTTGTAAAGGCTATGGCTCGATTGAGAAGGATACCTAATAGGTTGTATAAGAGGAAACCTGTGAAGGCTATTAGAATTTTTTTTACCCTTGTTGCTTGTTTATGTATCTTTACTTATTCGGTTTCTTGAGCTATTGATGGTGAAAAAAATTAGAGTCCAAATTAGGGAACACCCCGTTACACAATATATTTGACCTTCAACATGATAGAATGCACTATATGAGACAGGTACTTGAGCTATCTGATACTCGTTGCATTCATAGTACTAGGATGGATAGAAGAATGTTTAGGAAGTTGTGTCAACTACTAGTTAGTGAGGGAGGGCTGAAACGTTACGATGATGTAGCTATGGAGAGATGGTCATGATGTTTTTAGTTGCAATCGGACACAACAGAAGAACAGAACATTGCAAGTCGACTTTTGTCGCTCAGGCCAAACAATTTCCAAAGTTATCCATAGGGTCCTCCGTGCAATCCTACGATTGCATCCTCCTTTACTACGCCGACCAGAAGCCATACCAGAAAATTGTAATGATGATAAGTGGAAACACTTCAAGGTGACTAATTATTCACATTTTGTCTTGAAAAATCTTATAAGTTGACCCTTTGTAACTATCTTAAGAATGACACTTTTGTTGTTTAGGGTTGCTTAGGTGCTCTAGACGGAACACATGTGAAGCTGCGTGTTAGGGTAGAAGATAAGCCTAGGTATCAGGATTGTGAAGGGCATATTTCCATGAAAGTATTTGGGGTGTGCAACCCAAACCTCGAGTTTACATATTGTCTAGCTGGTTGGGAGGGTTTAGCACTTGATGGAAAAGTTCTTAGAGATGAATTGGCTAGGCCAAATGGTCTAAGCGTTGAGAAATGTAATATAGGATTTTAGAAGTCCCTAGACATGCTGAAAATATATCCTCAAATCCACTAATTAGTCCTTACCCATTTGTTTTACTCCTTACCCATCTGTTTTTCATTTAATAGGAAAGTACTACCTGGTGGATGTCGGGTATAACAATTGTGAAGGATTTTTAGCCCCTTATCGAGGACAAAGGTATCACTTGAAAGAATGGGGAGGAGGTAATAGGCCATTAACCGTCAAAGAGTACTTCAATATGAAGCATGCCTCTGCAAGAAATGTGGTAGAAAGGATATTCGATATTTTGAAAAACCGATGAGCAATTCTTCGAGAAACTAGTTGGTTCTCTCCTTAAGTTGTTAGCCTATTAGTGGATGCATGTTGCTTACTGTATAATTTCATCAAGATAGAGCAGGGAGTTGACAAATTTGAAAGAGATTATAAGGACAAAGAACCTGATCAGCATCCTTCATCCGTGGTGGAAGAAATTGATCTAGTCTCCGAAATTAGTCGTGCACAACTATGGAGTCAGTTCAGGGATTCAAAAGCAATTGACATGTGGGAGAACATAAATAGCAGAAACATTTAGGACTTTCAAAATGTTGTATTAAGACATCTATTTATAGAATGAACAATTATTTTGTTTGTATGAAGACTATTCATGTTTTATTCTAACTGAATAAAGGGTGTTGTTGTCAATGGATGTTATTTATGTAGTTTATAAATGGTATAAAATGCTTGTATTCTAACTGAATGAAGGGTGCTGTTATTTATGTTATTCATGTTGTATTCTAACTGAATGAAGACTATTTGTAAGTGGCTTATGTGATTGAATGGTTTATGTTAAAGATGTGGGTGTTACTGTGAATGGCTTCTTTGTTTGTAGGATGGCAAGAAAAAGAAAGCAAGTCATCAACGAAGGGGAAGTAGCTGAGCATGTTGCTGGTTACGTCTCGTGGGACGAGAACCTCAATGCTTTGCTCATACAATGCACGATGGAGTTAGCTCAGAGGCATCAGGCGGAGAACGAATCTTTAAATAATCGGAATTTTTCTGAGCTTCAGTACATGGTGGAGGAGTGGGCTCCTAGTTGCGGTGTCAGAGTTGAACCACACATTCGTAGTAGGCACAAGTTTCTCAAGAAGGACTTCCATGTTGTGCACTTGCTGCGTAATCAAAGCGGATGTGGTAGGGATGATGTAACAAAGACAGCTACACTGGATGATGATGTCTTTGAGAATATTGTGAAGGTAATTTGTCACTTTAACCCAACTTGCATCAAATATCAGTGACCGTAATATTTTAACAGTCCTTACACATCTATTTGTAGGTTTTCCCAAACTGAAAAAAAATTAACAGGAAGCCTTACCCATTTTATAATGAACTACTAAAAGTGTTTGGGAAAGTTGGGCTGCAAATGGAAGGAAAACAGTGGGTTTAACTGATGATGTGAGCTCCCCGCTATAGATGGTTTGACATTCGTTGATTTGGATGTAACTCAGACACCACACATTGTAGAGGGACATAGTGCTGAGAGGTTTATGTAAGATTTGATCAACGAAGAGGTTGAGATGTCCCAGAGGGCTGTTGCTACTACTTTGACGCATAAGGCAGTTCCTCTAGTAGCAGGGGCCTGTGACGGCATCAGGAAGAGAGCAAAGAACACAGAAAATAAGACGGACAATGCAATTTCAGCTGTAGCCGATGAACTCGGTGGATTGTATCCTGACATATCCAAGGCAGTTGATGCTCTTCGAACCATCTTAGAAGACCGTGAAGAAGAGACTGGAAAGGAAGCTGCATGGATGGCAGAGATAGGGAAATAGAAGGTTCAGAACGCTGGCAAGTTCTCGATGCTGCTATGTCTTGGTGGAGACTGATCGTAAGACAAGGCTTTTCTACGCATTGGACAATGAGGAGGATCAGAAGTACTTTATTCAGAAGTTGTTGCGTTGAGAAGTTATGATCATGTAGTAGTTGTGTATGTAGGGCTGCGAATGTGACTGTATAAGCTGTGTATGTGACTGTAGTGGCGTGCCTAGGTATGTAGCAATATAAATTTGTTAGAAAACCTGTAGTATGGATGGTAAACTTGCCTCTCTTATGCAAAGATAACAGGTAGGAGTTAGTATGCATAGGTGATGGGAAGAGGTTGAGGTATTTTGCTTTTGAAAGTTCCCCATCCATTCAAACTATGTGTATGCAAATTGACTCTGCGGTATGAGTCGGAATGCTTTGATATATAATTCTACAGCTACTTATGCAACATATGTTCTGGGTTAGCTGATGTTTGTATTTGATGAGTTAAACTGCAATCTTCTCCTCTCCTTATAAAAAAAGAATCAATTGTACAGAACCTTCTCCTCTCCTTATACAACATGTCTCTGAGGAAACAACTATTTCATTACTCCTTCATTTAATCACAATACAAGATTACAGCTTAACAATAGTCTAATTGTCATCAACAACACTCTAAACAGACAACAGGTGAACAATCTAACTAAAATTACTACACTAACTACTCTGTTTCTTACACACGATTTGGAGCTCAAAATTACAGCATTAAACAAGTCTGATGAGCTCATCACACAAGTCTGCACAAAATTGCATCCGTCTACAAGCAGCCCCTTCATTTGAGCCTTGAACTCTTGCCTCAAGGCGGCCAAATCTCAGCTTGATCGACTGTATGGAATCAACTAATTTTTCATATCCAACATCCGCACTATCCTTGGAGCCTCTGTCTAATTTAGCACGCAGATCTGCACTAGGTTGGCAACCATATCAACAAGTCATTTCCTCTCCTTGTACAATGCAACTCTAATATCGTGCCATTCAAAATAATCACAAGGTTCCTTCTCCTATATCCACACAACATTGGTAATCGTTCCATCAACCTCATTTTGGTATGGAAAGATCAATGAACAAATTTACCAAAACTCTAACCTTAGAACCAAACAATGGACAGCCAATTTTTTCGATTCGGGTTGCCATCAGTACGTGAAATTCTTCGAGAAGCCAAAACTCTAATCTTCTGCACTTTTAGTCTATGTCGATGACATCATTATTGTTGGAAATGATGTGCAGGGCATGGCAGATTTGAAATCTTTCCTCCATTCTCAATGTAAAATAGTGATCTTGCCAATCTTCACTACTTTCTTGGTTTAGAGATTGCCAAATCAAAGGAGGGTTTACACATATGTCAAAGGAAGTATTGCCTGACCTCTTACATGATACTAGTTTTGCAAACAGCAAACCAGTTGTTACACTGATTGACATGAAGACATATTTATGTGCAGATGATGGCATTTACTTGAGGATTCTTCATTGTACAGGAAGATTGTTGGGATACTTCATTACCTCACAATAACTCGTTCTGAGATTACTTTTGCTATTCAGCAACTCTGTCAATATCAGGCTGCACCAACTGCTTCTCATCTTCAACTTGGACACAAAATTCTTAAGTATTTGAAGAATGAACCAGGACAAGGTCTGTTCTATCCAACTCAATCAAGCCTTCTTTTACAAGGATTCTGTGATTCAGATTGGGCGTCCTGTTCAGATACAAGGCGATCCACAACAGGGTATTTCATCACTTTTGGAAAGTCTTTGATTATTTGGAAATCCAAGAAACAAAGCACTGTTTCCAGATCATCTTCCAAAGGTGAGTATAGAGCTCATGCTAAGCTTACATGGGAGATTGTTCGGGTTAAGAGACTGATACAGGAGTTGAGTATTGATCATCCACAACTTGTTCAGCTCTTTTGTGACAATCGATCTGCAATCTACATTGCAGAGAATCCTATCTATCATGAGAGGACCAAACATATAGAGATTGATTGTCACATTGTTCTACAATTTCTTCAATCTAAGCTTATCAGTCTAAGTCACCTAGACACGGAGAACCAGATTACAGATTTATTTACAAAGGGACTTAGCACGTATCAACTCCAGTTCTTGATGTCCAAGATGAACATACATAATCTGTATGCGTCAGCTTGAGGGAGGCTATCACGATATGAATGATTGATTATGCAGAACTGGGGGTTGAAGATTGAAGAAGAAGATGACGAGCAGAGGCCGTTGTTCAGAGCTTGTGGAAACAGAGTCGTTTTCCTCAGAAGCAGTAGAGGAGCTGAGCTAAGGCGATGTCGTTTCATTAAGCAACGACCATTTCCATTATCACTGTAGATAGATATGTGTCATCGTTAGATAGGCTGTAGTTTTGATTTTTATTTTGTTACCGTTAAATTATAATTGAACTCTGTACAGCCTGTTCCTTTGTAAGTATTATGCAGGCCCTTTGAGGCACCAAAACCCTAACGGGTTTCATCCAATTCTTATCCTCTTTCAAGATTTCATAAATGCAGCTTTGAAGTTCATTGCATGTGGTTGAGCGAAGGGGATACCAGCAGATTGTTGTGCGTTGTTTGTGACGAGGATTAGGAGGGTGACTAGACGACGGTTGATTCATCGTTGCTGTTGTTCCCCAGCGTCAAGAGTTGATAGCATTTTGTCAAAGATACTTTCACTATAACTATGTGTTGATTGTTATATTTATTCATTACATAAATTGTGAATTGATGTACTAAAATGAAAATTTTCTCACTCAATGATAATGTGATGTTATATTGGTTAATCTGGTTAGCCAATTAACCAACCCGGTTAAATTTTAGTTTGGTTAATTTGGTTGTTATATTAGTTTGGACGATTTGGTTATGATATTGTATTCCATGGTTAATAAAATTTAGTCTTATTTTGTTTGGTAATTACCATGATAACCATTTGGACACTCCTTTAGTAGGATTTGTATACTTTATGATATTAATAAAATACTTTGTACATTTTATTATTGTTTTGTACTATTATCATATGTTTTGTATAGTTAATGTACTTTTAAAATATAATTTTTATACTTTCTACTATTAATTTATATACTTTCATGACAAAGTTTGTATACTTTTTTAATCTGATTAGTATGATTGTATTATTAGTTTTTATTATGAGATAATTACCGTTAGTATTGACCCAAACTAGTTGGCTGGAAACCAAAAAAATTTCATTAAGATAATTTGATTTTTGCCCTACTATATATAATTCTTTAGACTGGTAGAGGACGATTATTACTATTTAAGAATTGGCGCCCTATTGGAACTTCTACGGATTATTTTATTTATTGTAACGAAGTTATCCTCCTTATAAGTTATAACTGTAATTTTGTACACACTGAGCTTCGAAGAATTATGTTGGGCCTTGAACATAATTACCTGGACTTGGCCCATACGTTTCGGCTGAATATAGTCGTTTGGGCTTTTCATCCATTTGATAACTATCGTACAAAACATATTTTAAATCCGTATAACACGTTTTATATTTGTTTTTAGGAAATTAGATTTATAATTTGAATATTATTTATTTATTTCTAAAATAATTAATTTCATTTATTTTATTGCTATTAACGCACAATTAGACGCACCATTAGTTTAGATGAATTAAAATACTCGTATGTATTCTATACTTGACTCATAGGCGGAGCTAGGGCGCATGGATGTGTCCCGGGACACAGGTAATTTTTTGGTAAAATAAAATACCCCATATATATGAATCAATTAAGGATTGCACACATCAACGTTAGGTAATATAAAAGTGTTTTTATCACTATACTACAAGTTATTTCAAGTTTACAAGCTAACATAAATCAATGTATTACACTATAAACTAAATTCCCGCTACCTAAAGGCCGATCTTTTTGTCTTCTGAAGTTAGTTTTGACTCTACTCGTTGCAATGGCAAGTGTGGAAAGAACAATTTCAGCTTTGAGTTATATTAAAAACAAGTTTCAAAGTCAAATTGCGACCAATTTGCTAATGATTGCTTAGTCGGATACATTGAGAATTTGAAAATGCGTTGTGATTGCTTAAGAAAATAATGATCGTATTAGTCTAGTATTTCTTTAATATGTATGAATACATGATTTAGATATTATTAGTTTTAATTATATTTAATAAATATTTATTTATTTATTTATTTTATATTATGGAAAGAGGACACAGGTACTTTCAGATTCTGCCTCCGCTACTGACTTGACTTATCCATAATGGGTTAATTGCACCGGATACCACATATGGATTGTTCATATTAGTTTTTTCGAGAATTTATCCGAGAACTATTGGAATCTCATACCAATATCAAATATTCCATGCCAACAATAATTGTCCTAATAACTAGCAATATACGCAATTAAGTCAAAATTGTACTTTAACGTGTAAAAATATAAACTTGTACATGTGTAGGTTATTGAAATGAATTAGATTCTATGTGAAATCGTGTCATGCACAAAATGAGCAAAATCATGCACATATATATAAGCTGTAGTACTGCTAAAAAAAAGTCAAAATAATGATTCTGAGAGCTTTTATGCATTTTCATGAAAGAGACCAAACAACACAGTGCTCCAGCAAAATGGCGCCGTTTTGGTTTAATTTAATTTTAGAAATAACAAATAGAAAGTAACTCTTCTCATCAAGAGCACGTATATGAAATTGAAGAATTATAATAAACTTAGTTTTAGTTCTATGGAATTAATGGATTAACATGAAATTTTTGCGAATAAATAGGTACAATATATGTTGGTTTGATGAATGATAATGGATTACAAACTTTGTTCGAGACTCAGGTGACTAAGGGTTCTTTTAGTCACATGACTAAGTCAATTTAACCTTTTTAACCTCATTAAAATTCAAACGTTCCAATTAATCAAATTTATTTAAGAACAATATAGTAATTATATGATTATTTGTCATTTTCAATTATATATATATATATATAGAGAGAGAGTGTGTGTTTTTCGGCTATCGATGACAACAAATGAGGCTTTCGGCGACTAGAGAAGGCGGATGAGAGTTTTCCGGCGGCAATGCTGGATTAGTGATGCTTGGCGACCTACTTTGTAATGTTTATAAGTCATGTTTGTAATGTTTGTATCAATTTCTGTATGTATAGTTTGTCATTTTTTGTGTAGTATGTTTGTAATATTTATATGACTAATTTGTATATTTTGTAATTTGTAATGTTTGTTTCTATAGTTTGTATACTTTATGTTATGATTTGTATACTTTGTATGGTTTGTAATACAACTTACCGCGTTGTATTATAACTAGTGGTATTCTGTACGGTTAGTAGGGGTGTGCAACGGTTCGGTTCGGTCCGGACCGGACCAAACTCATGAGAACCGCGGTCCATTAGTGAAAGACATGTTAGGACCAAGGACCGGACCATTCTTGCATTCGGTCCATTTGGTCCGGTTCGGTCCGGTCCAAATATGAGCTCGGTCCACCATTTCTTCAGTAATTATAAAATTCATTAGGACCAAGGACCGGACCGTATTTTACTCGGTCTGGTCCGGTCCAGTCTTAACAACGGTTTGGTCCGGTGTGGTCCGGTACGGACCGGACCATTGCACACCCCTAACGGTTAGTATGCTTTGTACTGTTTGTCGGTTTCTTTTGTAATGTTTGTAAGCTTTCTTATTTTTATCCACAATGTTTGTTATTTTTGCCCACCATGTTTGTATGCGTAAAAAACAACTTGGTTAACTTTCGAAATGAACTCATCTATATAGAGATGAGCTTCCAAAGTCAGCCCGATTGTTTTCCCATTTTGTATGGTTTGTCAGGCTAGTTTGTTATTTTTGTCCACCATGTTTGTAATGTTGTATGGCTAAAAAACAACAGGGTTGACTTTGGGACGAAACTTCTCTATATAGGGATGTAGTCTCCAAAATCAACCTGGTTGTTTTTTTTCATTTTGTATGGTTTGTATTGTTTGTATTGATTGTACAGTTCGTATGATTGTATTGTTTTAAATATGTTTACATGTTTTTTTCGTTATAATTTGTATTATTTATATGTTTGTACTCTTTGTAAGTCTGTTTTGTATACTTCATAATTTTTTATAATATCCAAATTATCCTTGTCACTAATTGAAAAGTTTTTCTCATTTTTTAACCATTAAATTAATATGTCTAGATCTTCCTCTCCTTGTTCATGAATTAATGTTATGTTATTCATTTATTATGACTTTTGAGTTATAGATTGCTCTACTTTGACATTTCTCAATATTTCGTTTGTGTTTGTGAGTAGTGAACTTATACATGAGATAGATTTAGTTATTTGCATATTTGGATTCTATACAGTCATATTTTAAAGATATATTAGCAATTGTACATGATTCGTAAAAGTTACTTATTTACACTAGTGATGGTAATTTGTACTCGCCTCGTCGGGTATTACTCGACCTGACTCATAATGGGGTGAGACATGGGTATCAACTTCCGACCCGCCCTGCCCCGTTCTTTGCCAGTTTTAGATTAATTTCTTATGTCATCCATTCATATATCTCCTATTTTGGCTTTTTTTCAACTAGTTAGACTTGATTTTTCAACTACATAGACTCAATTACCCATTATATTATCTCCTATTTTGTTTTATTGTAAAAAGTAAAATTTTGCATGTATATTTTTCAAATAGCATATAAGAGTGGGTAGATCCGCCCCGCCCTGTACCCACGTGTCCGTGGGTATTATCCGCCCCGCCCAGACCCATTGCCATCACTAATTTACACTTTACGTTTTTACCAATCTATTCTCTTTTAGATAGCATCACTCCCTTGACTGCATTAACATATATTAGTGAAGTGTAAATTTTTTCTAAATTACCCCTTTAAATCTCAAAGTTTAGATTTTCTTAATTTAAAGGTCAAAACTAATTAAGCATGTAAAAATACCCTAACTCATATTTACCAAAATAAACCCTAAACCGTCATTCCTAAACTAGATTGTGGCGCGACCAATTGGCCGGGTAGGTTTTTGTTTTCATTTTGAAAATTAATGTTTCAACTTTCAAATGGGAACTTCTTCAGTTACCACTCAATTCAATTTCTTCATTGAAGTTATTAGTCTTTATTCATCATTATTTTGGCGAATATCCATGTACCATATGAGTAGTTTAAATAAGTAGAAGCCGATGCAACTCGAATTGAATGTGTGAAAATTGCATATGTATAATCAACGATACTTTGATTTAGGCGGTGATACACTTCTTATTTAGTGCCACTACTATTTTTTTTTTATAAATAGTAAATATTATATAGTTCCACTACCAACTTTATGAAGTAAGATATTTTTTTATTTTATCAAGTATAGTAAATTTCAAATGTCGCATTACATAAAATATAATAAGAACACGTAATGATTAAATATTGTATGCTTATCTATTTTAATTGTTATGTAATAAATAACCGTTAAAACACATATTTTTCATATACATTCCAAATAATTTTTTAGTTAGTATGGTCAAAATAGCTCACATCAATAAGTCGACAACCTGTCTACATTAGAAATGACAATTTTGACTGACCCGTTCTACCTGACTTGTTTGACCTGTTTGAGGCGGGTTTGACCCACCTCGTAGGCGGGCTGGGTCAGGCCTGAGCACTTTTCTCGACCTGACTAGTCCTGACCCGCCCCATTTTTGGCCCGTATTTGCCTCAATTATATGTAAGTTTAGTTAAATTACTTATAATTTACTTTTATTACCTCATATTTTTGCAAAAATGAAGTTGTACATATGCGAGAACCTCAATTTTTCGAATAATTTAACTATATTGATCATATTTTAGGTTGCTCTTCATTTTTAATGAAAAAATTCAATATTTCGAATAATTTAACTATATTGTCTCTGGGCAGATATATAGAGACACCCGCCCCGTTGCCATTCTAAATCCAAATGACATGTACAATTAAGGTAATATAACACACATGTTCGTGCGTGTAAAAAATTTAAATTCGTTTTGAAAAGTTTTAATTGTGTTCCAATTTCCTATACTTACATTAAAAAGATGGGCATGGCAAGCCAATTACACTTTGTCCCTTTCCCTCTTCTTTCTTCACTTTCCATTACTCTCTGCTTCTCTCCAAGACTACATCATTTTCAATTTTCATCTATATCAAGCTACTTCTCCATTTCCCAATTTTTTGTGTCTAGATTAATATGGAAAATATGAACAGTATAGGTACTAAAATGTCATAATGAAAATTTTAAGTACCAAAACGTAATTTTCCAATGATATTTTTTGTATAAAAACTAAATTTTGGGTACCAAAATGCAAAATATAAAAAGTATAGGTACCAAACCGTAATTTAACATTTGGATCCATGGATCAATCCATGAATCCACCAATCCAATTGGATTTGGATCAAATGGATTGGATTTAAATGGATTGGATTAGGTGGATATTTTTAATGGGTTGGTGGATTGGATTGAGAATTGTTACCTCTAGGTGGAGATTTTTTTTTTTTTCTTTTATGGTTGGATCTGGTATATTTAAATCTTCATAGTTATTTGATTTTTATATCTCATCCAAACGATTTAGAATTGTGAAAATATGGGTGTTTTTATCAATTGAGATGTCCAAATCGCATTGATTTGGTGATTTGAGATTTGTGAAAATCTTGGGTTTGAGTGATGTCATGTTCTTCTTTCTCCCATGCAAAGAGATATGTTCTACTACTTTTGCTCCACTGAGGAGGCTGGAAATTAAGCTGCCTCGGAGTGGAGTAAACCTCCGGTGATGATGGCTGTGTTGTTGTCGTGTCGATTGTAGCTATTGAGGCCTCGGAGACGAAGAGTAAAGCTCCGGCACTGCGGGGGAGGAATATAACTCCGGCGATGGCCACGTTCATGAGAGATGGGTCGATATAAGGTTTTGTGGAATTTAGACCTCCAGTTCTGCCAATTGCATAAGAAAATGTGTGAAGCTCCAAAAGAAGAGGGGAGAAGCTCCGGTTACAGGGATTTGTGGATTGAGGCAAAGAAGAGGGCGAGGTTTGAGAGAAAAGTGGATGGGCAAATCCGAAAAGGAAAATACAAAATAGAAAAGAAAATTCCAAAAAATAGAAAAGGAAGTGATGAAAATCAAGAGATGGGCCAAAACGATGTGTGCCAGTTATTTTGGGGAAAAACATGTGCAAGTACTCATCCGTCCAGGGACACCCTAAAATTTGGGAGAACGATTATCCAACCCCAATAATAGTTTCGTATGGATAAAAAAAATTATAATCGGTAATCTTGGACAACCGTAACTAGGACACTACTATTATTAAACATATTCTCTAGGTTTCAACTCATTTCTTGTTCTATTTTAAACACTATAAAATATTAAAAACATTATTCCTTATCCCCAATCATTTTCAAAATCTAACAATTAAACTAATTACGGGTATCCTTAATTTGAGTTGATTTCATGGTTACACAATAATAGTTAAAAGAGTCTTTCCACTTTGAGTTACATCAAGAACAAGGTTAGAAATCGAATATGCTATCAGTTCGTGAATTATTGTCTAGTAGGATATACAAATTTGTTGAGCAATGTAGATATTGAGTCTATATTATATTCTTTTTTTAAAATATGAAAATACCTTAAAAGGTGTACTAGCCGGATATTTTATGATTTATGAATTATTTAGTTATTTAATTTTTAATTTAATTTAATTTTTGAAAGATGACACCCCTATAAAAAAATCCTGGATCCGTCATTGCATCCGCCCCTCCAATTTATGCGCTTTGGCAAGGAAAGATTGAGGTGGCAAACCTGAAATATTGACATACGCTTATATGTATGTGTAGACTAGCCGGCGCCGTGAAGAGTTTATACTCATGAATGTACCTGAAGACAAATCTAGCATAGCCTAGGTTCTCACGTTATTTTTTGTATTTTCTTATGGTTAATTGGGAATCAATTGAGAATTGACTATTGGCAATATCTATGAACTCTATTTTATCTCCAGTTCCAGTCCAAAATTTGGAAGTCCAGCCAGCCAACAGTGGTTCTTTCGGAAATCCAATCAGTAAATATCTATTTTGGATAAGTATGTTATTAGTTGGCTCCAATCTTCAGGGGAATCACTTCGACCGGTACCATGAAGCACGTTCATATGGTACAAAGATCAACTACGTCAATTTAGCTATAGCATGTAAAGATAAGACAATGAAAAGGTTGTACTCCATACAGCTTCACGTAACAAAACAGAAGTTTCTTGTTGGTCCAATGGATCTACCGGGCAATCGCACGAGTATGTAGATATATTGATCAGCAAGTGTTGTTGACGCTATTATACCGTGATGGCTGAGTCAGAAATTTAAATGAGCGAGTCTGACTTTAAATCGTGGTAATTGAAGAGAGGGATAAACCCGTAACAACTAGTCTATTTTTTAAATTTGTACAAATTTTACATGTAAATTTACATATATTCAAAGTTGAGGGGTGCTGCAACCCCCTCCTGGATATAGTCTAACTCCACCACTGTTATTATACAGTGATCTATCTGGCAATCGCACAAATATTATATCGTTCGGTTATTAAGTTTATTGAATATTTATATTCTTACGTTGATATGAGGTGATCGACGAATGTTGATGTCGTTGAATCATTTTATACATTTTCTTATCATACTACCACATCGGATTCAATATTTTAAGTACATATACCTAACAACAGTCAAACGTCATCAACACAGGCACGCCACCAATAAACATAAGTGCCCGTATGACTTGGCACAATAGTTAGTGGGGAAATGGACACCTATCCATTGAGTTGAACCCTTAATTACATCAGCACTCAACATGTAATGTTAGAAACAGCGAGAAACTTCCATCTTCCCTGCGAACGTGATCCAATACTTCAAACCACAAACAGTACCATTCCACAAATTCAGACACCTCTTTGAATTATTAAATTGTTGTATCTAGAGATGTCTGAAAACGGTACTCGTGATGTCATGGAGGTTTCTGCTCCTCCTTAGCCAATTAATGCCAACTGAATCAGACCCTGAAGTTTCTGGTTTCAGAAAATTTACGATGAGGGAAGCTATATATATGTGAGATCTACAAGATCAAAATATGTAAACCGTTGTAAATTGATTAGATGGACTCACTGCTTTTTCATTTGACATAAATAAGAATTTGGGTTATAATAATCCACTGTTAATATTGGGGGTCATTGTGATTCGACTACTTGGCCAAATCAGTTCTGATACCATGAATGATTTGATAACGCGGAATCACAAGAACACGAGACAAACAATTTTACGTGGTATGCTCGATCGATTGATTTATCGAGACTAATCCCCGGTGAGCTCGGAAGAGCTCACGGCTAATATTTTATTAGGGACTACATTGTGACGGCTTGCTTACGACAGGTTCATAGCTAAATATAGAAATAGATTGGGGTTAAAACCCTAATGAGAAGAGTAGAGTATGACCAAGTATCTGTACCTACCACAACTCGAATAAGGTCCAAGGTCCATGACTGGCACGGTTTATTAACCGCAACAGTCCGACCTATACACCAAGTCACTCAACATTTCCAATCGAAATTAATCTATCATCTAGAATACAAATTTGAATTTTTAGTCTACTTGTGGTGAAACACGACCAACTGTCACAAGGTACACAAAGTGTGGTCAAGATACCGTGTACACAAATAAGGACCATTAGTTTAGAGTGAAGCCAGATCTAAGGGTTGTGATTAATATACATATTATTTTTTTTACCTTTTTAATTGATTTATACCATTTTTAAACCTTTGGATTTTTTTTGGGAGAGCTGGAACAAGTTCATTTTGATATGCAAATCATATGTCTTTCGAGAAAAAGAGTTTCATACCACTCTATACTACCTTCAATTTTGAAAAATGAGTTGATCGTGATCTATAGGATCTACAAAATTTCGTGTATAAATATTTCAGGATTAAATATATCATCCTGGTATAGGCTGGTAACTAACGATAAACAGTGATGACATGTGGTAAATGACAATTAATATATTCTTACAATTATACAATTATTCTGCTCTATGATATATTCATACCACCATGGTATAATCTTATGTCCTACCAAGCATCACCATGGTATGGACTCGTAATAAAAAATTTAATTTATTGTTCCAAAATATTTCAAAATAAATCTCATTTTTAAGAGCACAATTAATCTCATTTTGAAGTGATATAACCCATCAAATTAAATTGGGGTAGATGTTAATCGATAAGTGAAAGTATTCATGGTTATGCATAGCATCATTTTTTCATAAAGTATATCGCATATTATCTCCATATTTGTCAACAACATTGACCATCCGGTCATCCGAATGTGTCTGTCATGCTAATTGTCGAGATATTTATCTTAATTATTCGATTAAGAAAAGAGTTTACTTGTTTTGTAATAATAATAAATTATTAATTTTATGAAAGATAAAATTCTACCGCCCTCTACATGAGAATGTTGAGAGCAACAAATAAAAGAATAGTAATGAACTTCAGCTCCTAACATATCATTTGCTATCAAATGAATAGAAAATTCATCTAATTTTAAAATGAATTACAGTGTAGAATTTATTATCAAATGAATTCTTGTATTTGATATGTCATGTTTAAATATTTAGAAATGGAATAAATTGAATTCTCAAATCATGTTTGGCTACATTTGAAATTGAATTTTATTAAATTCCAAAATAATATATAACTCACATTATGGAGGATCAGTAATCCAAATAAGATATAGTAAACGAGTAAATATTATTCCATGACATGGTTGCTTTATTCCAATAACGAAAATGGATGTGTGCAGGTTCGATTGCAAAATTTTAAGCTATATCACTCATCCAAAAGAAACACATCTATATCTATATACTATATACTATGGCAATTCAAAAGCAACCTCTAGCCACATAAGCACTTGAGGATCCACAATTTGTCAAGTTGAACAACTTTTTTGCAAACAAAAAAATTGGTTATTAATGTATTTATGGAGCTACCTCTCTCTTCTTTAATATTTCCATTTCTTTTATCCAAATATTCTTTTTCATTATCCATTTATCCTTTTCTTTTTTCTTTGATAATAAGTTACATGTTGATAAACTTAACCAAACACGCATAAATACTAATTTGTTGTCAAGTAAAAAAATATAAATAAGAAAAAATAGAGTGACATATATCACATTTTTTTAAATAAAAATATCTAATTAAAACTTATGAAGTAAATTTTCTACTTATTTTTACTAAAATTGAATGATAAGTTACATTTTGAAGAAAAAATTAAACAAACATACGCATAAACAATAATGTTTTTATCGATTAAACAAAGTATATATGAAAAGAGAGAAAATAAACATTTGACTGATAATCGATACGGAGATGCGAAACCGAAACTAAGATCGAAACTGAATACGACACATGATTTAACGTGGTTTCCTTGCTCAATGAGAGCAAGACTAGTCCACGGCAGGAAACGGAGTCTCATATATTCATATGCTCAACAAGTACATGCATACACATAATTATATTCGGTACACCATAACCCTAGCTACGGCCGAGCTATGCATGCTACGTATGGGCCTGGCATACGTACATGGGCTGAAGTCCATAACTCAACAGGCTCCCCCAAATTGATGAAGATTTCTCATCATCAATTTGCCAGCAAGATAGGAATGACGACTCGCCAATAAGGCCTTAGTCAATAAATCGGCAATCTGATCTTCTGACTTAACATAGACAAGCCGGATAGTCCCCTCATGAACTAAGTCATGAATGTAGTGGAGATGAACCTCCATGTGTTTTGTGCGGTCATGTAGAACTGGATTCGTGGCTATTTGAATGGAACTAGTGTTGTCAACATAGAGCTGCATCGGA